CTATTTCGGATATACAAGTTATAGGCGGTCTCTAGCAAGACACTCTGACTACCTATCTCGAATAGAGTTTGTTTGTGATCATACGAAAGCCAGTGATGATTCCGACTGATGATCCTTTTGTATCGCGATATGATATGTCGAACATAAGGCATGGACAAGCCACCTTATCTGATTCGACTGCTTTCTCGTTCACTGAGTTCGACTGTCTGAAATAGACGACGTTCGTCTATAGTGCGGCCACACATTTCTACAGTCTTGCTCACACGAGGGGCCCAGCGATATCTCTCTCTTTTACGAGAGGTACAAATCCCGTCTTGACTATCTACAATCCAGTACATGATTCGTTTCGTACCTGATACACGCCTTTATAGTCCTCCTGTTACGCAGGACGTTTGACGTAATCAAAGCACGCAACTCCTCATGTTGGATTCTGTAGATATCTCAGGTCTTAGGATCCAATCATGGAATCGTCGTATGAGATTCAAGTCATGACGCTAGTCCATGTGACAATCTCATGCGGGTCAGTCCAGTATTCCGTTCTGCAACGAATACCTATGATTGTGATCGTATCCAATACCTATGATCATCTATGTGATCATCAATCACACATCATACTAGTCTTATTATGTCGTTATTCCCATAATGACACAAGACTAGGGAGTTTAGTATCATTCATAATGATACATGGATTTCATAACAGATCTAGCATGCAGGAACATGTAATGAACAAGATACTCTCATAAAAAAAACATATAGAAAGTATCAATACATCGAATGTATCTGAACAAAGCTCATAATCAGTACATCATAGAGCACTAAACCAACACCGACTAGGACTCTGACTCGGACGATGAAGGAAAGCTAGCAGCATTAGTGGAATTTTCAGCAGCACCGGCTTCCTTTTAGAGCACAGAGAGACCACGATGCACAATTAGCTACTTGCTGGTAAACAGTCCCCCAGCTATCTCACATCTATATCACTTCACGCAGTTTCTTTGCAGAGCCAGTGCGAAGAAAGACAGATCCACCGGTTGAGGTTCTGCACTAGATCCACTTTCTTCTCCTACGAGATTTTCATTTCTAGTTAGAGGAGCATACCACTCTACTAACTTTATCTTAGAGCTCGATAGGTACCTTTCTTTCACATCCACTCGACTTTGTTTAGGGTAATAGCAGCACGACAAGATCATTCCGGCACAGCTTAATCTGGTTTTCGGCTCTTCTGTAAAAAATCGGATCTTAGGCCTACCGGTGACCGGCTTCGCTGGACCGCCATATGGCCTGATCCACTCTTGGCATCGCTCTATTGGGTAGAGGTTTCTCGATCAACTAATTGACGAAAGAGGAAACAACGAAGGTCTCAGGAGCAATATCAACTACCTAGACCAACATGCTATAAGAATTCCATAAAGACCTTGCTTTTTCTCCTTTCACCACGGGCCTAATTGTTTCATTCCCGCCCGTAAGCTCTTCAGTTAGACTATTTCAGCGAAAAAATTGATTGTCTCGACCTTTTGGTTGAATTTCTCAGAAACATTGGCATAAACAATTGAGGGATAAGTACCGCCTAGCAAGAATGAATTGAGACTACTTTCACCCTTTTTGCTCCTGGAATTCAATCCCCCGCCTCTTAATTTCCTCTAGGAAGAAGCACGATCTCAATCAACATGTGCTGCTTTCAAGGGGAACAACTATGATCCTAGTGCTGAAGAAACTAATGACTCTGATCCTGATGACGGGAATGCTTCTATTTCATATTCGGAGCTGCCGATTCTACTTATCATTCCGTTCCATCACTATGTGCTTCTATTTGATCTTAACCTCCTGTTAAGGAAATGTAAATGAGGACGTCGGTCCTGTTGGGTCCTATTCCAGCTCTCTATCTAGAGCTAAAGCTTGTACAACTGCTATTGGTTTTTATTGAATATTGGTTTAATTCTCGCTATCTGGCTTTCTTCTTTATATGGCATCTTTCTTCTGCCTCAGTGCAATCCAGTTCAGGAAAGCGGGAAATCCCCTAATTTGGGCTTAGTAAGGCATCTCTGGGCTAACCCCGCATTTGAATCTATACCTATTCGTGCAAAGTCTTCTAGCATACTTTTGAACTTCGTATCTTAACTAGGCACAAGCTATTCTAAGAGCTCTTATATACCACCAATAGTTGCAGTTGTCACTTCGCCCCATTTTTTCCTAGATATGAGACTAGTCTTACTCCCTGCTATATATATATATATATCTTGACGCTTTGAAAATGTGTACTTAGAAGTGGAACATAACGCAATCTCGCAAAACCGCGTGAAAACGGGTCTCAAGTTAGATTCTCGTACGGGTCAACTCCAGCTGCAGATACGACAACACCATCACCACCTCCAAAAGTCAAAGTTCTCAAAACATTTTTTTCCCAAAACAAAATAAATAAATTGTGAACTTCGATGGGATGCCTTGACTATTTAGTATAGACATATAGTGAATGGGCCAAGTGTCATGGCATAGAGGTCCAATTTGTAGGATGCCCATAATGTCTAGACCCGAAATCCAAAACCCGATCCGAGTTCATCCGAAAAAAATAAGGGTCCGGAGCTAAAAATATATAGATCCGATAAGATTTCGGGTTTTTAGACCACGGGCCGAATGGGTTACGGGAATGGCACAATGGGCACATGAACTTTGTCTCTCTCAAGGATTTACAGTGTCATTTTCCAGGGTACAAGCTTTGCTTTAGATCTGCTCTAATGACGATTCATGTTTCTGATCATTGTGTTTCATGTTTCATTAGTGGTGTATATAGTAGTGAGTGTGCGTGTGTACACATACGTTACATATGTATGTATATCTATATATAACACATGTACACATACTTATGAACCGGGGAAATGGGTCTCGTTCTCTTTACGGAAATTCAGAAATCTTTGGACCATGGCCATGGATTTTGCATTTCTTCTTGAATATATTTTTCTCTCTAATTTGCATTGCTTTGTTTTTATACTTAAGACCCTAAGTAATCACTCGCATGACACACACATCCGACATTACTGTATCAGATGATGTCACAATATGGCCATGGATTTTGCATTTCGTTCCCAACTGGTTCTCGACTTATACATCTTTTAAATGGAATTTAACTTACCCGATCACTGAACAATCGTGATAATTTTATTAAATTTTTTATTTGTAAACGTTTATCGTTATATCATTTTTAATGCGTTGCGATGATATAGAAAAAAAATTGTTTTTATTATTACACAGATAAATAGTCCGAACCCTAATAGACCCGAATACTGATCGGATCCAAAAAAATCGAAACCCGAATTGAATCTAACCCGATCACATTCAACTCGAGTAATTCGTTTTAAATTCTGTTAGTACAATTTTAAAAAATCCTAATAAACTTTAGATATACATTTTTTTATTTTAATTATCTAAATAGAAATGCGCAAAAAGATCAACTTCCTAGGAACTAGCCGACCACAAATACATTGGTCCTAATATACGAGGTTCCATAAACTCTACTGTCTTTCTTAAGTTGTATATTGATCGCCCCGTTATGCAAAAAAAAAAAACATTATTTAAAAAAATACGTAATTTGGACAGTATAATCGAATCTGAAATTCAAATACCCGATTGCAATTAGAGTTTGAAACCCTTCAAATAAGAAATAGAAGTGAAACTCACAAAGGGGAAGAGAGCTTTGATAGTATGATCCAGAAGGCAAAAACACTCAGTAGGACCAAAAAAGGCTTACACTTTGATAGCATACTTTCTCAAGGGAAAGTACATTTCTTTCTTCTTCTCTCGTTCCGTCTTCAACGAAGCCTGCGCCAACAAAGTCATAATGCAACCCACAAGGCATATGAGTCTTGAAATGGATATTAAACATTGGATTAAGCTCAATTGTCCAAACACAAAGAGGTGATGAGATGTAACCAAAGATTGCTTGTCATGTTGGTTAGCTCCCATACCCGGACTTTTTGATACCCGAGAGATGAGGTATGAGATCAGATAATGGTATTGGAAAACTCAAAGTTTCAGGTCCGGGTTTGAGATGCCTGTCTCATGGACGAGTAATACAATTTACCCTTTTAAGTCTAGGGATTAAAGGTGATTTAGGAAAATGGAAATGTGTGTCTTTTTTAGTTCATCATTCAACTCAATTCTAGGACATTTTTTTCTCTTTTACTCGTCGTTAAAGAGATAGCTATAATGGCGAGTACCTGGTGCTTGGTGAGTCTTCTCCTGATAGCTCTAGTCTTCTTGGGACGGAGATCGAGTGGCAACAACTTCTTGGTTTTGTATGCTTCTCTCAATGCAGACTTCTGCTTTTGTGAGATCACAGTCAATACCTGTGCAATGGACTTCCTCACCACCTTGCTGCAACAACAGAAAAAAGCTCATTTGGAACCATTGCGCAACAATTTACTAAAGCAATGCTAAGATGATTTCTCAAAATCGGAAACTTTGATAGAAATGCTGAGCCTTTCTGTCTACACTAACGATCCTATCCATTCTCAGGGATTCACTTTCTTATGAGAATAAAACTCTCGGCAACATTTCAAAGAACGTGGTTCAAGAACGTTGGATCAGATACATGCAGAAACCACAAAACTAAAAGCAAATACGAAAATCTAAAGCCATAGATTCTGAACAATACACGCGATATGAAGAACAAAAAACAAAAATTCCGGTCCAGCATAAGGCTATAAGCAAAACATGATGAACCAAAAGCAAGCAGCAGCAAGAACAATCACATAGATTCACCGCAGGCTGATTCTGCCAACCAAAATACGGTTCTCACAATTGAATCTATTCTACGGATGAAAAGACCATAGCTTGCCATAAGTTACCAACTATGGCAAACCTATCACTGCATACAGTCTACCTCTCCCATTACCTATAGCGCCTCAGCCGAAGCCAAAATACTAAATCGCCGTAGATACCCAGAAACGAAAATGCAGAGAATACGTATAAGAATCAATCACCATTAAGAGAACTGAGCACATACATTTTGGAGAGCTTGTTCGGAGCACCGCCAGTGACTTTCGCGACGCGGAGTAGGGCAAGCTCCGCCTTCAGTTCCTTCAGCTGATTCGAGAGATCAGCTTTCGATTTCTCCCTCAGCTCGTGAACCTTGATCCTCGCTGATCCAAACCCATTTCACAAAACCGATTAAAAAAACACAAAACACCAAAATTTCGAAAAACTTCGCACAGCCTCAAACGCGAACCGTAGAGAAAACAATAACATGAAACATTGATATTTGTCAGTTTGCTCGGAACATTTCAGCAGTGAGAGCTTACCCATGGCGGCTCTCTCGAGTTCTCAATCAGTTGCCTCCTGCTCTGTATGCCGTAGGAAACCCTAGAGAAAAGGTCGAGGATGAGTTTTAGGGTTATATAACTCGGGCTAGGTTTAAGGCCCATATTCCTCAGTGGGCCAGCGATAATGGGCTTTATACCCAATAAGTACAAAAAGATAAATAAAATTATGTGCAATTGGAGTCTGTAAATATATATATTTTTGGTTAAACTATAAATATAATAATTGTAATCAACTACCATTCCGTATTTATATGCATCATCTAATAGGATATTTGAATGTAGATTAATATATATACATATGTATGATTTTGTAATCACAGTATCATTGCTTATTTTTTTGTTGGCCTCTCATGTAAATGGTTTATATCAATGTAAATTTTTTATTTGTAAAATAACATAATTATGTGGAAAAAGGAAATTGTACGCAATATCATAAGAATTTTTTTTTAATAATTTAGATTTAAAGAACCTTCTCTAGATTTGAATTATATTTGCTATTTTTAAAATAAAATAAGGGTTTTAAGGGTAGAGAGGAGAAAGAGTCTAAAATGATGTCTTTGCCTCGTCGCATGTTGAAAGAAGCACGATGTTTTGTATTTCATTTAATAAACTTGTCTTTATCTTTCTCCATAAATCCGTTGACAAGGGCATTAAAAAGTTTGCGTTCTTGATGGATTTTGACCTATATTTTAATTTTTTTTCAACGTTCTCCAAAATTAATTTTTAAATTTCGTAAGAATTATATTTATATTGTCTTTTTATATCCGTTTCATTTTTTTTTTAACTTTATTCAAATTCGTTTTCGTTTCGTCTCTATGAAAAAAAATATTATTTAAAAAATATTTTCAATCACTTCTCTGTTAAATTTACTGATATAGAATTTAATTCAAAAATCCTATCTAGATGATTTTTTTAATCTAATTTATTCTAATACAATTATATATTATTCAACTCGATTTAATTAAACTTTGTGTAAATCAAATCAAAATATTCACTCCTAATTTATTACATTTTTGTTTTTTAATACAACTGCGGATGATATAACAATTTAGAAATACAATAACGTTATTTCAAAAATAAATTGTAATGATTGATTTTTTTTATTAGGGTTGAAGAGCAGAAAATTCAAACAGTTACCAACTTACCAAAAGAATATTTTGTATTAGAGGGAAAAAAAAGGAAAAAAGAAAAAGTAAGAGAGAAAAGACTTCGGATAAAGCAAAAGAAAAAAAGAGGAGGAAAAGAATCCGTTACCATGTCAACATCTGACCGCTAAACGCCGTCGTTTTGTGGGCCTTCCACCACTACAAAACTTGTCGATCAGAACAGAAACCTTGCGCATAGAGATTTTCTTATCAAGAAAATGGTCGGTCCGCTAATTTCTTTTCTGTCTTTATGCGTTTTGATTACTGGGTCAGTTTTTGTGATTTCTTCATCTCTGTATGCTCTGTTTGCAGGCAAGTGATGAAACAGAGCATATCAGATACGAGGAGGTTTGGTCTTGTCTCTGTTCTGTTTTCACATGCTCTGTTTCTCGATACATATTGCAGATTCACTCATCAGAAATTGAATTTTTTACTTTTGTTTTGTAGAGATACGTAGAGAATTCACGAGGGTTGAAGCTCTTCACTTGTAGATGGATTCCAGCAGATCAAGAGCCAAAGGCCTTGATCTTCATCTGCCATGGATACGCCATGGAATGCAGCATCACCATGAACAGTTCATGCCCACTTCATCCTCTCTCTCTCTCTCTCTCTCTCTCGCGTATGAATTCAATAGACACGAAATCAAGAGTTGGGTTTTTTGCGAATCTGATCAATGGATCAGGTACGGCGAGGAGGCTGGTGAAGGCGGGATTCGCAGTGTATGGAATGGATTATGAAGGGCATGGGAAATCAGATGGACTAAGGGCTTATATCAGCAACTTTGATCATCTTGTTGACGATGTCTCTAATCACTACACTTCCATATGTGGTAATATTACATATACACGCACGTATATGCATTTATCATGGTTTTCGTATGGTTTGTGTGCGTGTATATATGCATATATACATATATACACATATATATGTGATGGGTTATTGCAGAGAAGGAAGAGAACAGAGGGAAGATGCGGTTTTTGTTGGGAGAGTCAATGGGAGGAGCAGTTCTTCTGTTATTACACAGACTGAAGCCTGATTTCTGGGATGGTGCTGTCTTGGTCGCTCCAATGTGTAAGGTACCTTTTTTTTTAAATAATATTGTTAATATATTATATTATTTACAATTTACATATTGACTTGTAGCCTTTGTAGCCATATAATGCAATCTTCTTATATATAAATTAAAAACAAAATCATCAACTCTTTGTTTCTCTTAAGTGTGATATATAACACATGTTTAATGATCAAAGAACAAGCCTGGCTTTGATTAGTTTTATGGGGTCCTTCTAACTCCAGCTTGAAAGATCGTTCAGATTACTATGATAATTGAACCGATTTTCTTTTAAAAATATATTAAATGTTTTTTAAAATGCTGGTGATAATATCACTTAGACATGAAAGGGAAAAAAAATTAGTATTTTTATCCTTTTCAAAAGTATTATCTGTCAACTTAATTTTTATATTTCTGAATTTCACCTGATTCCAAACTTTAGATAATCTATAAAAATTCGTTGTAGATATATCGATCAATTCCTATAAAAAAAAATGTCACAAGATAGAAAAAAATATAGGAAATAAAATAAGCATCAATTGGAAATATTTTTGCAGTTGAAATATTAAAATTAATATAGAATAAAAAGTTGTTACTTTTTCTTACAAATATGCATCCACTAACCTAAAACCAATTTAATTGAAATGTGACGAATGGGGGAGGAGCAGATCGAGTTGTCTATTGGCAATTGGCCTGAAAATATGCACGTTTCTTTTGGAATAAAAGTTATATCATTATCCAATAGAAAGCAAAAGCTTCTTCTTTATTATATATATATATATATATATATATATATATACATGTGTGTGTAAAGGTTGTTTTATTAAATACAACATTGGTGCACTAATTAGCAACTTTAAAAAATATATATTTTGTATCTGGAAAAGAAAAAAGTTAGCCTATCATATATATTTTTTTCAACTACTCCAACTAAGTTGGTAAATTATGAACACATATGTATATAATCATGTTATATATTTTTTGCAATGATAGATATCACAAACATATATATATCCAGGAGTAGTTGGCTCAACTGATAAGTGGTATACGCATCGCAAAGAGTGCTCTACCCTAGGTTCGAATTCTACTATAGTCAAATCACATATTATAAAATATATATATATATATATATGATTTTATTCATTAACCATTATATATACATACACACTCACAAATTCGAAGAAAAAATAAACGTGAGTTTCTATTAAGTGTCTAATTAAAATTTTAAAAAATAATTTTACAAAAAAATAAAGATTCATCTCTAGCAATAATTTAAGATATTCGATAAAAATAAGGGATAATCACGTATAAATACCTAAATTTTTATAAAATTCTCAAATAAATACATAAACTATAAAACTCTCAAATAAATATCTGAACTTTTTTTTTTGATAAAAAAAACTTTTCAAAACTTCCACATAAATACTCAGATTTTTAAAAATTTTCCAAATAAAACCAAAATATATTAATATCGCTTAATTTATAATGGAATCCAACGAAAATTGGTAACATGGTCGATTAACCTCGTCAACGAATGTTGTTTTATTTGGTAAATTTTTAAAAATTTGGGTATTTATATAAAAGTTTTAAAAAGTTGAGGTGTTTATTTGGGATAGTTTATAATTGAGATATTTATTTTAAAATTTTATAAAAGTTTAGGTATTTTATATACTATTATTTCTAAAAATAAAAATTCAATGTTTTTTTTTAATGCAGATTGCAGAGGAAATGAAACCCAATCCATTGATGATTTCGATTTTGACGAAGCTGAGTCGGGTTGTCCCCACGTGGAGAATCCTGCCCGTCCAAGACATTGTCCATGTGGCATTTAAGCAGCCCGAAATTAGACAGCAGGTATTTATTTATTTATTTATTAATGTCGCTGTTAATTTAATTGAAACTAATTATTTGGAATCATGTTAGGTAAACCGATGAAGAGATTTAACTAACTAAATAATTAATTAAATATTTAAACTGGTGTTTAGTAACTAATTACGTGTACAAATTAAAGGTTAGGGAAAACCCTTACTGCTACAAGGGGCGTTTTCGTCTGAAGACTGCGTATGAGCTCTTTAGGATCAGCAACGATCTCGAGAAGAGACTTCATGAGGTATATTATTACCGTCTCTTAATTATTTCACTCTTAGTTTAATTATATTCTTAATCACATTTAGTTATAAGTTAAACAAATTAATGGACCAAACTAAATCGAAAGCAGCTAGCATTGGTCTTTTGATATTTGATTTTATGAAGAATCTTATATATATATATATATATATATATATATATATATATATATATATCGGATTTTCTCTTGTATGATTCGCTTAAACTATCATAATCATAATAATTAGACACGTAATTAAATCCAAATTATGTGTGGGAATCAATTTAAAGAAGAGACGATTACAGTTTCAATCAGATCTGGATTGATAAAATTAAATTAAATGCTGCATGATATTAATGGAATCCGACGGATCAATTTATAGGCGATAAATTTAATTTTAATTTGGCTTCGGTGTCATGTTTCGGCCACGTGCACAAACCTAATTAGCTAAAAACATGAACCGAACTTAAAACATTCCAAAATTGTTACAAGATTTCACTCTTATTAGGGTTTTTGCTCTTACGTATTTTACTATTTGGAATTTCATTATGTAATTGGTCCGTTTTATCTAATATCAATCTAAGTTATATATTTGAAAAAAAAAAACGATTTAATATACAAATCCCTATACATTAATATTTTAACATATAAAATTAATTACATGCGTTTTATAAGAATAACACAACTAAAAAGTCCAAGGACTTACCGATCCGAACAAAAAATAAATAAAAGGTAATATAGTCTATTTGAAATATAATTACAATTTGAATTTAGAATTTCTGTGATGAAACTTATATTTTATAATGCAGTATAAATAAAATTTGATTGATGATTTTAATACAAATCAATTTTCAAATTTACTGTTCTCTAACTAAGATGCCCAATCGAAGCTAATAAATGAATTGCAAATGCCTATTTTTTGTGATGACAGGTGTCGTTACCATTCATAGTTTTGCACGGAGAAGACGACAAAGTGACGGATAAAGCCGTAAGTCGGGAACTGTACGAGGTTGCCACGAGCTCCGACAAAACCTTCAAGCTTTATCCGGCAATGTGGCACGGCCTGCTCTACGGCGAGCCACCGGAGAACATCAAGATTGTGTTTTCCGATATCATCGGTTGGTTTGACGAGAGAGTCTCTCTCGGGAACGGAAGGTTCGAGACCGAACTTAAACGTGAAAACGATGGTTTCAACAAAACATGAGTGAAGATGTTGTCATGTCGAAACATAATGAAAACAATATACAAAATCATTGTATTCATATTCGAGTCGGACCCTTGGATGGATCTACAAATGTGATTATAGAGTTCTTATTTGAATTAATAATTTGTTATTCTAGTAGTTATATTAAATTTTATATGAATCTTACAGATTAAATTAATCGTTCAGACAAGATGTCTTTGGATACTTTTACCCAAAAGAAACGGTCTTTGGATACTTTAACTTTTCACTAAACCCGTGAACTTAAAGTGAAAAGTTTACATAACAATATAATATATTACATTCTTTTTTTTTTATATCAGAAATTCAGTTTTATTTAATGACACACCCTCGAAATCCTTGATAAAAAAAATATTTATCATGAAAAAGGAAAAAAAGGAAAGTAAAAAAGGTCTGAATCCTTTGTCCAGCGAGGGAAAATAGAACCAAGCCTCTGATTGGGCCCTCGATCATGGACATTGATTTGGGCTTTTTATCATTTTCTATTAGATGAGCTTATTATATTACTTGCATTCTCTATATTCCAAATACTTACAAGCCTATCTTAGATTCAACACAATATTTTTTTCTTCTTCTGATTTTACAACGAAAAATGTGTCATAATTTGGTATTTTCACTGTCTTTTTTTTGCCATGCAATTTGGATATGCAGAGAACTCTAGGAACGGACATTAATTTAAAATTCGGATACGGTTATATATAGTGGCGAATATAGAAACATACATTATTGGGTTAAATTTATTTTTATGATTAACATCTTTAAATTTATGGGACATTTCATAGTTTTATTTAAAATTTTACAAAATTTATATAGAATATAACTTTTTTTATTGATTTAATGGGGACATATGTAAGATAATTTCAAGTTTTCAGGGATTTGCTTTTATGAAAACCCAAACGATAAGCTGGATCTGGCTTTATATAATTAACACAAGACAATCAATAAAACATAGATCATAAAACCATACCTGGATCTATGAATTGCAGCGGAATAACTTTAAGAACCAAAAGTCTTCTAGGGTTTTCTCTCATTTCTCCCGTACTATAAGTTTTTTTTTATGGACATAAATAATGAACTATAATGTTCATTTTATAGGGTGCGGAAACCCTGGTTGTATTAGAGTAAGGAGAGAGGGAACTTCCAATAATACCCCTGGGCCTTAATTCTTTAATGAGTTCTTATCCATCAAAGAACCAGATTAACATTAAAACCCGAAAGCCCAAATTACATGGGCCACATAATAATTTATTTCTTACATTCCCCCACTTGGCCCATGTGATGAATTGATGATCTAATAAACTTTAAGCGCGCAACTTTACATTAGATTCATCTATCATCGATAACTTTCATTTGAATAACAATCGATGAATCATGGCGGTCACACATCACTTTTAACATGATCCCTTCCATGTATCACAATCAATTATCATCCAACATACTTTATGACCTAGATATTATATCATTATGCACGTTATCTTACTTAATAATATGTGTACACAAATAACATAATGATAACATGCCTAATAATTGCAGAAACAATACTTTAATTGAATTCAAAATGTCATAATCATAAATATAATGAGCAAAAAGTTCTCCGAAATAATCATTAAAGCAAGGACTTGTCAATAATGCCCCCTTAAATGTCTTAGGCGATAGTCCCTTAGTCAACGGATCCGCTATCATAAGATCGGTACTAATATGCTCAAATGACACTCTTCGTTTCTGCACTTCTTCTTTGACAACTAAGTATTTTATCTCCATGTGCTTAGCACCTTTAGAGTATTTGTTGTTCTTTGAGAAGAAGATAGCTGCGGAATTATCACAATAAATTCTCAGTGGTTGATAACACGATTTTCTCATCTATTTCAAAGCCCATTGTGTAGCACTTTCGCATCGGTTGTGTGCATTATTAGACATTTAGGATCATTTTAGCACTGGGTTTTGCTTCTTCTGCATTCTCTGGTGATTGAACAGGTAATGGACGCACTATGGATGTCAAAGGAGCATAATCGAGGACTTCGGAGCATACTGGACCGGAACAGAACGATTAAGACATTTCTAGCTCGAGTTGCACCTGAACACGGCCGAGTCGAGTTTAAACACGGTCGTGCAAAAGCGAGGAAACGAATACATTCTTACAGACAATTGACACGGACCGTGTCGAGTCAAACACGGCCGTGTCGAGAGCAACTCGCCCGTGTCCAGCCCGTGCAGAAGCGCGTAGTTTTTTATCAGACAATTGACACGGACCGTGTTCACCCCAACACGGCCGTGTTCCGTTTCGAGAAAACTTCCTATTTTGCATCCGAACTTCCGTTTTCAGAATGGGAAGAAGCCCAGCTGCCAAGCAAATAAATAGGAGATGTCTTGGGCTTCAGAAATCATCGAGAGATCACAGCAGAAGCCAGAGAACTCGAGAGAGAATCAAGACAGAGTTTTCCGGGAGCAGAGATTGAAGAACCGTCGTCGAGAGATCGCTGCGAGTTTCTTCTTTATCTGTTTCATGTTTCTTCTTATTGATTTGAACTCGTTTGTTGTTATGGGTAGTGAGTAGTCGTTTCACTGTAGCTAGGGATTTAACCTTGTAGGGATTTGTTTGGTTTTTATTTTCCGAGACTACGTTATCGATACTCGGCGGTTTAATTGAATTGAGTTTATTACTTTTGATCTTCTTGACATGTTGATTGATTGATCTTAGATTCTAATTTACAACGAGAGCTTAGATTCGGAAAGAATTCATTGAATAAATTGATTAAGACTATTGAGAGATAGGTTAATCGGTTTAGGAACTGTGATAGTGATCGTTAATGCGTTTGATATTTTAATCTATTAGGTTGAGAGATCGATCGGTTTAATTATTGGATAGTGGATTTAGGACTTGAGAGAGCCAAATCTGATATTAGAACTTGAGATCCCCGATTAGAGTTCGATATTCGTAGATTCTCCATCCTTAGAAACAATCCCTGCGCATTAAGGTTATCCCAAAGCTACGGTGGTTTAGTTATCTGATTTACTTAGTTTATTTATTGCTTTATTTTCAGTATTCATCTATTTCATCTACTATTTGCTGATCTGAATCATAGTCGAGTCTTGTTCTTAGTGTTAACTATTCCCTGTGTTCGACCCTGGTACTACAGTTGATCCGTATCCTTGCGGTATTCGTTGTATCTAGGTTTTTATTACTTGAGCTTATTTATACACCTAGATTTGCGTTATCAGCGGTCTGGCTATAGAGTCGACAATTCCAAGCCCTGAGATAAAGTTCTGCATCCATAATCCATGAACTGTAGCCTCAAAGCATGCTACAAATTCAGCTTCCATAGTAGAAGCAGCGATGACAGACTGCTTTCCACTTCTCCATGACACTGCTCCTCCGGCTAATAGGAACAGAGAACCGAAAGTTGACTTTCTGGTGTCAACGCATCCGGCAAAATCGGAATCTGAATACCCAATGACTTCCAAGTTGTCATTTCTTCTATATGTAAGCATGTGTTCCTTGGTGCCTTGCAAGTATCTTAGAACTTTCTTTGCAGCTTTCCAGTGATCTATTCCGGGATTACTCTGGTATCGGCCCAACATTCCAATAGCAAAACTGATATCTGGTCGTGTACACGTTTGAGCATACATCAAAATCCCAACCACTGACGCATAGGGAATACTTTCCATTTCTTTTCGTTCCAATTCGTCCTTTGGACATTGCATATTACTGAACTTGTCCCCTTTCTGAATCGGAACTATCCTTGCAGAGCATTCACCCATTCTGAATCTCTCTAAGATCTTATTAATGTAACTTTTCTGAGACAATCCTAACAATCATTGTGGTCTATCACGGAATATTTCTATTCCAATCACATAGGACGCCTCACCCATATCTTTCATCTCAAAGTTCTTAGAGAGAAACTTCTTTACGTCATGTAACATTCCAATGTCATTTGCAGCAAGTAGAATATCATTAACATACAAGACCAGAATCACATACTTGCTCCCACTAACTTTCATATAGATACATCGATCAACGATATTCTCTATAAAACCATAAGATGTAATGGTATCGTTGAATTTAAGATACCATTGTCGGGAAGCTTGTTTCAGTCCGTATATTGACTTTCTCAGTTTACACACCAAATTTTTCTTTCCTGTGGCTTTAAAACCTTCAGGTTGGTCCATATAGACTTCTTCCTCTAAATCACCATTCAAAAAGGCAGTCTTTACATCCATTTGGTGAACCTCTAAGTCATAATGAGCCACCAAAGCCAAAACAATTCTCAAAGAATCTTTCTTAGACACCGGAGAGAAAGTCTCTTTATAGTCGATGCCATCTTTCTGGGTGTAACCTTTAGCAACAAGTCGGGCCTTATACATTTCGATATTACCACTTGAGTCACGCTTAGTCTTAAAGACCCATCTACAACCAACTCTCTTTGACTCATTCGGTAAATCAACTAAGTCCCAAACTTTATTGTCATCCATTGATTTTAATTCATCTTTCATGACATCAAACCATCTTTCAGAATTACTATTATTCATGGCTTGCTTAAATGAGAACGGATCATCATCAATGCTTAAGTCACATTCATGTTCAAGAGTATAAACCATGTAGTCATCTGAGATAGCGAATCTTTTCTCCCTTTCAGACCGTCTCAGGATAACTTGTGGTTCATTAAACTCTTTTTTGCGGTGACTGGTTCATCGGGTATATCTTCATTATGTGGGTTTTGGACATTCCTCTGTTGTACCAAAATATCACGTGACATTGATGTGACTTGAGGAACAATAACTGTGGAAGGAATATCAGGTGTTAAAACATTATCCCGAATCTCTTCAATGTCCACCTTGCGTGGTTTAACACTCCCACTGATTTGACCATTTTCTATGAACCTTGCATTGCCAGCCTCTACAATTCTCGTACTGTGGTTAGGACAATAAAATATAAATCCTTTAGACTTTTCTGGATAGCCAATGAAGAATCCACTGACTGTCCTAGGATTAAGTTTCTTTTCATGTGGATTATATACTCTTACTTCTGCTTGACAACCCCAAACATGTAAGTGTCTCAAAC